CTTTCAGGCGTATCCAAGACTTTTTGCCCGGGAAAAATTGCGTCTCAAACGGTCCACGAGGAAGTCGAACCGAGGTTGTATCATGGCTAAGATGTACAGTGTGTCCACCATGTACAAGAGTAATATACCGTGATACATCTTAACAGATACATATCCGCAGCAGGCAAAGGGGGTATGAAGACTTACGGTGAGTGAAAAAATTGTTCATTTACATCATGTATCCGGTACACACTAAAATATTTTCAGTGATGCCAGCTGGTGCTTGCCACCATAACGTCCGTGTGTGTGTAGGTCAAAATAATTCTACGCTACACCCCCTGTAGCTCTTTGCTAGGTAAATCAAAGCACTTGCGGGAATATCGAATCGCAAGTGGGTGCCCAAAGGTTGTTGGTCAATTCTATGAAATGTTTCGTGGAAGGCCATGCATGGGGGTCCGTGAAGGCCGGTGAAACTCCATGGAGGTCCCCGGCGCTCTGCACAATCTTCCGTAGTTTTCAATGGAATATCCTGTGAATGGCAATGGCTTGCCGTAACTTAGATTGTTTTCCGTGGCATTCCGTGGAAGGAAGTCGTCGAAAATTCCGTGGAATTCCCCGCCGTAACCCTAGCCCTTCCACTCGGAAAGATAGTCGCCAGCAATCCTGTCGAAAGATCGGGTTTTCCCGTATAACATGCTACAGATGAGACAATGAGACACCCATCGAGAAGTGTAGTACGATCGTGATCAGTTCGGACGGTCTGACGCGGGTTCCGCTATTCGGCGCCGAGGTGGTCCGAAAACTCTCACGCAACACCCACAGAAACGTACGGTTAGCGCCAGACGATGAAAGAAAGTTCTGCTACGTGATAGACGATGTCCTTGTGGCTGACTTCAGACAAACGTTCGGTTGGGCAAGTTCCTCCGGGTTCTGGGGCGTCATGGCCGTGGCAGTAAAACATTCACACCGAAATGCTAACATGAACACGGTGTGAAACTAGTTTGACGAAAGGTTAGCCATGATGTCACACGTCTCAAAAGTAAACTCATGGGACCAGGGGGTGTCGACTCAAGTGCCCTCGAAGCTACCGAAAAGCCGCACACAGGCGTGCTGTAGGATCGACGACGGCTTAATTTGTGGGGTATACGTGACTAGAACTTAGCCACCAAGTGTCAACCTAACACGTATGGGGTGGGCTTGGGGTCTGGGATTGGGATAGCGTTATGCAGTGCTATTAGCCATGATGAAAGCTTGGTCCAAAGCAAAAAATCTGCTGTGTAGGAGTCGGTTCGAGGGCTCTCAGTGCCAGTCCATGAGCATCACATGGGTTGCCCATGGGCCACCCATGGGTGCTTCAGTAACACTGTAGAAGACGTAGGAGACTTACAGCACACACCGCACGAGGACTGCATCCGCATCACTGACGTCCGACTGTGATCAGTTGTTTGTACGCCGATCCTGAAGGGTATGCACTAGAACACTCCCGTGGATCATCTCTGCCACACTTTTGATCCGCGTGTTTTGTAGGACCGAAGCAATATATTTCATGAGAGCGTACGAATGGCCGAGGGATAGACGATACGCGAGCGAAGTTGTGGAACTCGACTTGCGTCAGGAGGGCCTGGACGTATTTTGTCTAGTGCCATTTACTCTCGTCAGGTCTTCACGATATGGCCAGTAGGCCGACCAGAAAGAAGCGGCAAGTACGAATGTATTAGGAGTTCTATGGTGACCTGGATTTGTGGAGATGGGGCCCTTGAGCACAAGCTTGGACGAAAGGGGAGAGTCGTAAAGCACTTCCTTCTTTAACCATGAGCGACGCGTATGATCGCGGTGGTACCTATCTGACGCTTGCTTCGAAGCCGTTGGAGTTTACTGCTTGCAGTTGGAGGGGTTCTGGGAATATCAATTCACATACGAGTTCACCGGCGAGTCGACGAGAAAGGACCAACCCAAGGCAACGAGGGATATCACAATATACCCACTAGAGCTGCTTCGTAGTGCAAATGATCATCAAGGACAAACCAACCAAGCCGGGGCAAGCTATACTTATCAGAGGTGATATCGTGCCGGCGGTATCATCGGTGAACAGATGCGGGTGACCAGATGACAGACGGGCACGCTTGCTAACGAGGCTACTGGGTCGAATGGAAGTTAAGAGCGGTTGGCGCCAGGTGGGAAAACTCATCCAGGGCGACAGAACACGCTAGCGGACAGAACCTCGACATGAAAGCCAGACGAGGTCGACAGAAACGTACGGAGGCTAACCAAGGATGGCGCCTGGAAGAACCAAGATATCGGACATCAGCGACAGCAATGGATTGAATAGATTTTGCGAAAGAGACTCCCAAGCAGACGCGTGGATGACCAGCGGTGGGAAACAATGACGAGAGTCTTCACAACGAGGACGCGACAAAAGAGACTTGAAGGAGTATTCACGGAGACGGGGTTTTACGAAGAGAAGGACCCAAACGCTGCACCCGCTTGCCGACCGATTCATGAGGACAGGAGGGTCAACCGAAGAACGTGAGCTTTTCGCCGACGTCTTGGTCCACGCATCGCTGAGCGCAAGCACTTTGAAAGGGTACCGTGGCAGGTGAGTCACGTGGGAAAAGCAGAGAGCCAAGGCAAAGGCGGGACCGTGGGTACACGAAGATGATGGTGTCGATAGCGCAGTAATAGCTATCAGGACGTTGTTGGTGGTGTCAAGGTGCCTTGCGTACAAAAATCAAAGCTAAACGACAAGAAGAAACCTGGCGCGACTAGGTGCGTTCATAAGCGAGATGCAGGCTAGGAGTTGCCCACGTCGCACTTCAGGGTGGAAGCCTCGGCGAACGGCCATGAATAGGGTACACGCGACGTCGGAATCGAAGCAAGTTGCGAGGAACCCATTGACCGTGTCCATGTTCCGTACTACAACAAGCAGGAACAGACAAGGCGCAGGTGAGCGTATTAAACTTGGATACGTGGATGGGCATTGCTTCTGCAGACATTCTTCTACGTCGTGCAGCAGAGCTTCGGGGCTATGATAACGGCCAATCTAGTCATTTACAGTAGTCTATTCGGATTATTGTCTCACTAGGGGAAGTTTCGAGATTTTCGGGGGAGTGCGGAAGATAGCGTGGAACGACAGAAGGCAAGCGGGCAAGGTCCAAGAGACGATCACAACGTCCAAATGGAATCTCGAGCGGTAAGGACTAGTGTAGTCGTGAGGATAGAGGAATAGCGAGGGACCAAGTAGGAAGAAAACATCGAATGGAAGAGGTGAGACGCGCGAACGTATGTTGTACGTACTACTGCAGATGTGCAGCCTGAGCTTAAATGTAGCCCTCATGCATTGAGTATAGCGAGGGAAATGGGCGGTTGATCATGGTCAGCAGCAACAGAAATGCTGAGACATATGGCGGGAAAAGATTAAAGAGATCCTCGAGAGTTCCCGTCGCATTCTCGTAGAATTGGCGGTGCTCCGCAACTGCTAAGTATCAAGCGTCTGTGACCTAAATCCAGAGAGCGGGGAAATTGAAATCAGCGGCGTTCAGGACCTACGTAGGACAAGAGGGAGGAGAACGAGCGAAACCTGGTCGCACGCGTTAGCGAATAGTGTAGAGGAAAGAATGACGCCGAAATCAGACCGTCCTGTGGGGTACGAATCGCAGGAGGGGTCGGTTTGGCCCAAAAAGCCGCGGAAAATGAGGTCGAGATGAAGTAGACAGATCGAATCATGTAGCGAATGTTTTAATTGTGATGATTTTTTGTTCAGTGTTCGATTCGTGTTGTTTTGTTTGTCCAAGATTTCTTGAGCAAAACACAAACAAGGCAACCTTCGTTCCTTGGGTCTGTATAGCACGTCCCAATTAGGGGCCGCGATTGTGACTGAACCATTAATCTGTAAAACACGCATACACACGTTTAGGAATGATAAGGTGCATATTGCAGATGAGTTCAAGACACTCGAGGTTGGAAAGCGCCCGAAACGACGCCCCGACATTCTGAGGACGGTGCAGACAGATACGTACATGCAGGTTCTCTTGCAGTGCGGCCGTGCGGTGGGCTGCTGATGCTAAGCTGGTGGGGGGAAAATTATTCTGAACTGATCGAATTTCCGGATCACACACTCACAAGATTGGCTACGAGGCTACCGTAGTTCTGCGTGTAGTGTGTTCGGCAACCTCGTGAGGTTTCGCAGGGGACAATCGGATTTCTTGCAGCAACGGAGGACCCGTGTGATTGTTGAGGTACGTCCGATGCCTGAAACAACTTGAGTCCCCCTCCTCCATCCGAGAAGTTCAGACAGAGATGGTCACATCTCACCAAGCTACGCTAAGCACCGGAGAATGGGTTGGTATAAAAAGCTGAACCTCAGCGGCAACCTAACCTGCCAACAGTCACACTGAAGCAATCAACAGCAAGACACACGCCGTGATCCTCGTTCGTGCTCAACCGCCAAGCTACATTACTTTCAGAGAGGGACACAGCCGTGGTTCCTTGCGGAATTTCATTGCGCTGATGAGGGTATGCACGGTGTGATCTCTCATCGAACTGTGGTCCTCTGCATACCTACGCCGCATCAATGCCCATCAACGTGGGAAAGTTGTAGGGGAATGTACGGGGGCTCACTCGGACAACCGCGTACATGTTGGTCGGGGGCAAGCAGTTCCCGGCTGAATGACCAGTTTCAGTGTACAGGTTAACCGAAGGGAGAAAGGATTTGCACGTCGTCTATGCGCACACGGTGTTGATCTCACCAGGTCAGTTGCAATGAAGCGCGGAGAGTATCGCTGCCAAAGCGGCCAGCTGTAGGGAAAATCCGATATCGTTGCCCAAAGCGCTACGTCGTACCTGCAATTAACATCGGGCGTTCATTGTACAGAATCGAAATGTTGAATACACCACATTAGCAGCAATGAATTTTGTTTGGATTCCCCACTTTCTTTATGCGAAGGAAGAGTCATGCTTTCGCATGTGTTGTGTACCTCAGCGCTCTCTTTTTATCTCCATTGCCCTCTCTCTCTCTCTCTCTCTCTCTCTCTCTCTCGCTATCTCGCTCTCTGCAGCTCACCATCCAATACAATTTGGCATCGTCGCGTACATACCCAGGGGGATCACTAAGCCGTCGCGCACTACCACTAGACGATGCGAGAAGATTGTTCAGAACGGCAAACGGAATGTCATGGCCCTCATCAAGCATGAGTTTTCACTCCCTCATTGTCGAATAAATATCGACACTCCAACCGTCAGATACATGTTTTCTGCAGTTCCTCATCGATACCAGGATCTCCATGAATCCCACATACACCAAGTAATCGTCGACCCAGGGCCTCCGGGCGTAAGGATTTACAAAATATCTGTTCATACCGGACGCACATGTACACGCGATAGTTCAGGGGTAGAGATTATACGTACACGTGTCGAAGGAGCAATCAGCGTGAAGTATGCTCAATATGGTCAACAAGACATCAACATGGGGCGGCAATTATTGGCGATGATGCACAAACACACGGCGTTGACCCTGAACCACTTGATAGCGGTCGAGGAACGAGTTGGTGGTGGAACTCGTTAAACCTTCCATACCTCAATGAATGCATCAAAGTTCTGTGTTGATGAACTTACGAATACGAGTATTCCCATCGGTAGAACGTGGAGTTCACGAACTCAACAAACGCCGGGTCCTTGTTGTTATCTGTCCAATCAAGCGGTATTGACGTGGGGCGGAAAAGGCAGGTAGCACACGTTTCGCGGTGGCGGGTGTGAACCAGCTTAGCAAGTAAATCACCATGTTTGGCGTCTATGATGCTCACATCTCACAGAATGTATTGGGGGTCTCGAGGATGTGCCTTTCATGACTTGGGAAACATGGCAGGTGCAGTTGGTCCGACACCCACGCTCTTTCCCCTGCTAACCCCCGACCGACCTTCCGAAGGTTTTTTGTACGCAACAAGGCGTTTGAAATTGTTTTCATAAGCTATGGGTGAAACAGTATTAGAGCAACAAGGGTGGGCGAGTCAAAGTGACTGCAAGAACGAAATTTGCGTCCAGCCATATGATAGAAAATATGAAGCAACCCTGTACAGTTCGACACTCGACGCTCCGCGAGAGTAGCGAACTTCAAATGTTGGAAAAACGGGTGATGGGACGGCGTCATTGTGGAAACGGATACTTCGGACGTTTTCGCGCTTGGGTGGCGCACCCAAGAACTCACAGATGGCATTTCCGTTTGGGTGTCCGAGGACACGTCACATGTCCGTCAATGCTGCCGTTTCATGAAACTCAGTTCCAGTCAGCGTGCTCCCCTTCACCCAAAATCTCTCAGCTGAGGAGAACGCCGCATTGTACAGCCTTGTAAAGCTCGAAGAGTGAGCCACGACAACATCCCACTCTAAGATAGCGAGCGCGTCATACTCCTCGAGGTGCCGAACCACATCATCGTCCAGAAACAGTTTGTAGAACATCCCTGAAGAGCCTTTCGGATATACGTTATCCTGTTTTCAAAAGCGGCAAGTGGGGAAGAGAAACATTGTCGTCAACCAGTGGGCATGGATGGGGCGGGCCTATCTTTCTCGACATTGGAATCGTTTTCTAGCCGAGTAGGGGGGATTCCAGTCGGTACCATCGTTGTGGGTGTCGTCAGGATATGGAAGATGCTGTACAAGATTGGGAGAAGCGTTTGGTTGGTGGGGGGAACCTCTGTCGTTCGCCTGAAGTCCTCGCTTACAGTACATATATTTGTGCCTCTGGTCGGGTCCCCCGTGCCTTCTGTGGCTTCGCTAAAAAGCCCATCGGACACCCAGCCCATGGGTCGCCATGGGTCGGCAGCTCACGGGTGAACAATGTGCCACCCATGGGTACTTTGTTGCGCATGGTTGACCCATGCTTGAGCCGTAGTCATGCCCATGAGCATGCTCATGAGCATGCCAATTGGTAGCCCGCGGACAACCCATCGACGGCCCATGAGCAACCCATGGGAAGCCCCATGGGCGGCCTAGCAGAGTCCTTCAACCAGAACTAGTGTCAGCGTACTCCATAACGATAGATTTTCTGCTTTGGAACGGGCATTATTATTGACCAAGCCCACACGATACGTGCCAGATTGACGGTAGTGACTAAGTTCTACGTTGCAGATGGCAAAGTTCTGGGTTGATATGCCCGGTGGCGAAGGTCTAGGTTGAAGTGTCCATGAGCGGTTTTGCAAACTGTCAGGAGTGTGGGAGATTGGGAGGTCGAAACGTGAAGTCAAGGAATGTTGGCGTACCTTCGCGACGTTCGAGATTCACGCATGGCGAGCCAGCGCGCCTTGGTGTGTTGGACTGGCGGTTGGCATTGACTTGCAATCTATCTTGTACTCACCGAAATCTACTTCAATCTGGTTGTGTGCTGTTGATATGATCCACGCCGTGCTCGTGCTCTCCACTGTCAGGATGTTCGTTCCATCGATTACGACTCAGGTCGACACAGGAACATTTGCAAACCCTGACCGATGGCCGTCCTCACTGTCGAACCCCCGTGTATCAATATTCTTCTTTTCGTGTGTAGCAGACGTTCTCACGACGCGCTCAGCTTAATTTTTTTTGGCTTTGGATTTGTTTTCGACCTATGGAAATCATCCGATTTGGCGTGCTACGGTTAAGGCTTGGCCTCCCGCCCCCGACTGGGGCGGACAGATGGATGACCGCGAGGGTTTCGGGAGACGCTAGGAATAAGAAGAAGGAGGACGACACGTGGCAAGAAGGAACAGTGTATTAAGACGCGATGAAGACATGAAGACGTGCAGACGTTCGCGAAGAGCGAGAGGGCACAGGAGGGTGAACCATCGCCCCCCCCGCCCCCAGGGGCATAAGGTGTAAGAGCCGAGTTGGTCTCAGGAAAGGCCGACGTGTGCTGCGCCGCTTTGGTCGATGGTGTCAAACATTTACATGTTGTGCTGTGTAGTACAGTACTCGGTGACTACCTCTCGATTATTTTCACAAAATGTGGCGTCCTGCAGCAGCGGAGGTGGCGGTGCTGCTGTAGCTCGTAGACTTTGTAGTCTACCACAGAGGTTACACTGCTGTCACCACTCTATCACAGAGGTTGGTCTACACTGCTGTGAGATCGGTAGGCCCGAGCGAGCTTTGGAAAGAGAAATGTAGATAGATGCTCTTATCAACTGACTCCCTGGTCAGGCTTTGATGGGTGCTAGATGAGAGTGAGCACAAGGGGCGAAGGCGCGCTTGTGTCTCATCTCAACAACAAAACAAAACAAACAAACAAGCAGCAACACAGCAGGTTCCGAGGGTCTCCGGGGTAATGGCCCGAGTACCGGAATTTCGGGATTCGAAACAAAAAAACAACTACAGTCTCGCCTGCCAAATTATCTCCGCTACAACTCTATGCTCATGTTCTCTGCTGAGTACCATCTCTTCTTTCTGTATTATGTCTACGGAAGGCTAGTTGCCGCAGCCGCACCTATGGTAAACTGTGCCTGAATACGTTGTAACAGTTTTCCTCGACATATTTCATTTCGTGGAGAGACTATTGAAGCAATGCGTGTTCAGAACATGAGTATTTGTTGTCCCATACAACCAACACGCGCGTCCACATCCATCCTTCATTCGGTGCGGCAGTAGTGAATTCATCNATTCGAAACAAAAAAACAACTACAGTCTCGCCTGCCAAATTATCTCCGCTACAACTCTATGCTCATGTTCTCTGCTGAGTACCATCTCTTCTTTCTGTATTATGTCTACGGAAGGCTAGTTGCCGCAGTCGCACCTATGGTAAACTGTGCCTGAATACGTTGTAACAGTTTTCCTCGACATATTTCATTTCGTGGAGAGACTATTGAAGCAATGCGTGTTCAGAACATGAGTATTTGTTGTCCCATACAACCAACACGCGCGTCCACATCCATCCTTCATTCGGTGCGGCAGTAGTGAATTCATCATTGTTTCGTGTAAGGTTTTTGACGATTAGCAACGATTATTACTTGATACAAATCATACTGCTGTTGTTGTAAGAAGGAAAAAAAAAGACCCGAAACCCGAGAAACGTTAACACCTCGCAGTCCCCATGGTAAGGAACCGAAAGGAGACTAAGTATATTGGGTGCGTGAACGACAGTATACAACACTCCATGTACTCCTCCTTTCAACCATGGACTATAGTCTACTCCGAGTAGTGAAGATTGTGGGATATCTCTGGACACATCCTTAACCCTAGCAATCTTCATCTGCGGTTGCTTTCTGCATGTGCTTGCATCACCCCGTGCCGCGGTGCTTAACATTTCCCCACTCCGGAGGGACGCCTCGTATCAATCAGCTGCGATGTGTGTCGGCCTTTATCATGCAGTTGCGTGTGATTGAACGTGTGCATCTATTGCTGCGGATAATGCCGCCGCTGCGTATAACAGCGTGTGTGTGGATAAATGCGTGCTTGATGGTACAATATAACCGAAGCTACGCTACCCTTATCTGACCTGCGGTAGGTCTACAAGTACGGCCGACGCGTGCTGCGCGTCTACGCTCCGTACTTTCCACCAGTTGCGACGCGTGTCGACCTTTATCATGCGCTTGCGCGTGGCTGAACGTGAACCTTCTCCGGTGTCTGGTCCATAAAGTGATCGAGCTGCAGCAGTACTTTAAAGTATATGTTGTATCTTTTCCCGTGCTATCTGACTCTGTAGAAAGGAAAATGTGTCACGTCACGACGACCATCCTGCAAGTATATCGATAGCATGATTGGCGGAACAGAATACAAACATTCAGAGACCATGCCACTCTATCGCAAAGCTCGCATGCTTCCGTAGCGCGTATTGGCGAGATGAAAATGGGGCACGTCCGTAACGACGAAAGGAACTTGATATATCATAGTTTCTGAAGCGTTCTACCTTGCTTGCTAATATCGTCGTTGTTTGACCTTCTCGTGCAGACGCACGATCTCGCACACGATCCACGCACTACCAGCACACGTCGCTACAAGTCAAGATGGCGATGGGGTAACCCCTCCTGTTGCGGGTTGTACGCATAGACCATGCCCTCGACTGCTGCCCATTCAACACCACCAGCAATCGACAATCATATAATCAGCGAAGTATTGCGCCTTAAAGTTGTTTCTCCCGAAACAATATGGAATATACATACATACAGTCTACCGTGAGTTCCGCCGCCAACCCCAAAGCGCCCGCTAGTCGTCTAGCGCAAAACGATAATAGTTGCACCGCATGCCACGACTGTTGTCGCCTTTCCTGCTCTGATTTACTTGTGATGGTGCGGTGTACGTTTGGCATACCTCCCTTATCATGCTATCATGCTTTATCATGTTACATAAATACTCACAGGATGGCGGTCGTGTCGTGACACAATTCGAAGTTTAAGAAATGGGAAAGAAATAAAATGGTTGGTCAATACACAAATTCGGACTGGGGCTCCAAATTTTTCCATTTAAGGGCGCAGACAAGTTTCCTGGAAACACGCTGCAGGCAGCTGCATTTGGATTTGAGCGGCTTCATATGATTGGCTGAGAGGCAACAGTTCTCCCCTCCCAACCAACGAACTTCCCCTGACCGCAGTTGGTGCTGCTTTTTTGTCGAGAGCTGCGTGACAGCTGCACCCTGCCGACACCGCTCTCTCTCACTGCTCTGCTGTTGAGTGTGCGTGCATGCAATGCGTGTGCGTGTCTTCTGTGCCACCCCCCTTAGCCCCTCCAAACAAAATCGCACCAGGACGTAGATAGGGAGGGAGGGGGGGGGGGGGG